TAGAACACTTTGGTCTTGCTGTGACACATTGTTTTATGCAATGCAGGAAGCGGCGCATCGGCTTGTGGTATCACATATTTTTGTGTGACTTCATGCTGTGGAGGGATCGTCTACTGAGGCGTGACAATTTGGACATTTGATAAGCCTGCATGCATGCAAGGCTCTGCCTAGGCAAAAGGCCGTTTTGCGCGTGATGGCCTGTACTTGAACAGCAGACATCCTCAGAAAAACTTTGCTTTCTGCTCAGTCTGGTTATCGAGATAATTAGGTGCCAACAATGTCCTGAAGCTAAATATTCACTTTCACGCACTGAGATCTGGACGTGCTTTAAAGCTGAAGTTTAAATTTTTAGGTTACACACTGGCACAGAACATTCTCGTAAAATTTCAACTCCGTAGCGTAACTGTTGGCGAGACCGCTTTTCGTAAAAGATATCTTTGGCATTTCCGAGCCACTATGTAAGCGTAGTCTAAACCAAAACTCATTTTAAACCTGTGTCTCCACGTATGAAAAACAAATATTCTTGTGTACAGTTAAAAACGCTCTAATCAGCTTAGTTCCTGAATTATTATTTTGCCGGCGACTGCGAAATCTCAACTTTGACGCGTCTGTACACGAGATGTGCGCATGCGTTAAAACTGAATTTGAAACCTTTGTCTCATACGAGGATAGAGAGCGTCCTCGTTAAATATCAGCATCCTATTTTGTACGGTTTCCGAACTCGCTTGCTTGTTAAAAAGTTTACATGTTTTCTTTTAAGTACCGTGCTTAAGAGCCAAGCGTACGCGGATGATAATATTAAAAAAGAAGAGTTTCTTATGAGATAGACACGGCTCCAGAAGTTTCAACTTCCTAACTTCTTTGGTTCTCGAGTTGAAAGTTGGTGAGAAAATGCGAACACACGCACGCCTTGTACCAATACTCATTTCTGCATTTGCATAAATACGCAAAAACGCATCAAATATGGAAAGAAGAACATTCGTGTCAAACAGCACTAGTTTCAGTTGCTGTTGGTTTCATTAAAACATGTTATATTCCAGCAGTTTAGATATGTTAAATGGAGTATTCAAGAAATACCCATCCGTTTTCTGGTTATTTTTCACCAACCCTGCCCAGGTGTTTCAAGAGGTGACAAAGGAGCTCAAAACTCAGCTAAAGAGGTTCCAAATGCAACTTCAGACTTCACTGAAAGGAAGCTGACTTTTGACTTGATCGAAATAGTGACGAATTGAATAGTAAGGCGTACAGTTTTTTCCATAGCGCATCCATGCACAAGACGTAAACGTCCATAAGCATACTTTTGTGAATCCGTACATGAGTCGGGAGTATCTCTGTAAAAAAGGCTGCTGTTTAAGGAATGCCGCGAAACTACTATTTTGCTAAATGTGCCTCTATTGCTTTTTTTCGATGTAATTGATTGCATGTTTGCTCCATCTTCAAAAACGAAAACAGAGACACTCGAAAATCATTCACCAGCTGGCAGGAATAAACTTTTCTTTACTTTTGCCTGGTCTACCGCGTTTGGCACCGAAGGGGATCTTTTAATCGATTTCAGCTTATTTATCATAAATAGCAGGCCGCGCTAATTATTGCTACAACATAGTAAATTTGCTAGTTAATAACAAACTTAACTGGTTAATGCTAAATTTGTTAATTCTTTACCTCATTTATTAATTGTATTTTTCTACCACCAGAATGAGCTATATGAGTGCAGAATCGCACATGCTTTTACTGCTCTGCCACAGATCTATAAAAATTGCTTCACTGGATTTCTTTGACGACGCCAGTTCAAGGAAATCTCGCCGAGAAACAATAGTGCACACCAGAAAAGCCACAGTTTTCTATGCATGCGAAGAAATTACCCGCTATAATTGCTAAAACAGTTCACTTGTAAATGCAGTTAAAAAAGCGCCAATTTTAATTTATGCCTAATTAGCTCCCGAAAGTCACCGATCGATAATACAACAATAATAATGGAGTCGATGAGATGATAGTTGAGCAGGAATGAAATGTGCTAGAAAAAAATAAAATACCTTCGATGTTTAAATTCTAGATGCGGGCTGCTAGATAGCAAAGATGTGCTCAAAAGCAGACTGCCGCTTGAAGGCTTACCAAACGAATAAGTGACCGGATCGTCTTTGCTTGAAATGCCTTTTTTGCGCGTTCAAATAAGCCATTTGAATGGTAAAGTGCAAAAGCCAAAATGACTGAATTTTGTGAACGCAGTCCCGACCATATAGGGATTCAAATCCGCAATTAATTTTGAACCTATGTTTTTCCTTGGCCAATGACCACAAATTTTGAATACTAAACAAAAAAAGTGGGAACTCAAAATCCAGAAATTTATTGCAGAGCAACTTGAATACCTTGAAATTGCTCTTTTATGGTCAGTAGTCCCAAGACAAATTCTGGCTAGAGTTTCAGTGAGAAAACTAAAAAGACACAAATCCTTCTAAGACATGTTCCTGTTGTATGAATAAATTACTAGGCTGAAACTTTTCTGGTAAGTTTATTTCTGAAATTACTCCATTCTAGGGCTCAGCGAACGACATCTACACCGAAGTGAACTACATAAAAAGTGCTCCAGAAGGCCCAAGGCGAAACAACAGGACAGCTCGAGAATCCGGTTACGCTGACGTCAATCCATCAGCGAATCTACAGTGTGAAGGATGTTGCTTGCCAGGGCCTCCTGGTCCACCTGGAGCGCCAGGTAGACCGGGAAAACCCGGTAAACCTGGTGTTCCTGGAAATCCTGGAATGCCAGGAAAGCCACCAACGGTACCTTGTGAGCCGACGACACCTCCTCCATGCAAACCATGCCCACAAGGTATTTATTATCTTGTTGGAAGTAGCAGTGCAGAAAGATTATTTAAATTTATAAGCATGCTTTCAAAGAGAGCGAGCAATAGAATCATTGAGTACAGGTGCATGAATCTGAGCCAAACAGTTCTGATAATTTTTATGCGTTTTTTGCTGTGCAGCGCTATAGCGCTGTTACAGCGAACAAAAACGCATATTGTCGAGAGGTCGTCTACGCGTGTGCCTGTGATTGTGTTCGGATGCGAGTGAACTTTGTCACCCGCTTTCATCTCAGCAACCAGGAAAACTGAGAGGCTGAAATTTTGGGTATATGTTTCTACCCCATGCGTCATCCTTCCGTTTTAAAATTTTCGCTCATACGCGCTTAGATCTCGCGTACGGACCCTTGAAAAAAATGTGCAAACTTCTTTGGCAGGAAACGATTTCGCAAACCAGGGCAACGTACAATGCTAAAAATTTGCAGGGATTTTCTCTGGCCATATGCGAGCTAAAAATTTCAAATTCAGCTATCGCGCGCGCTTGTGTAGTGCGTACGATCACGTCAAATTTCACAACTTAGTACTGTGTTAATCGAAAACTTGCTGGAAAACAGTGGCCGAAATTCTGTCAGCCTGCTTACGTCCATATGGGGAAATGTATACCTAAATTGAGTTGCGAGTTGCACTTACGCCACGACTTAAAGCACTTCAAAGATATTTGTAGCAAAGTGACTATTTCGCTTACCGGGTAAAGTACGAGGCTGAAACTTCGCTGGAATATTCTACTTTCAAATGCGGTCTTAATTTTGCTTGAAATTGAAATTCCCTGCAGGTAGGCGTGAGGGATACCCAACTTCGCCGAAAAATCAGAAACGAATGCATTTTGCAGCGAACGACCGCTGTCATCCTCTCTCAACTTGTAAATGAACTCGCTTGCATATTTGGATTTTTTGACAAATGATCGCTCTAGCAATATTTCCAATTTTCAGTGAGCTGGAAATTTGCATTTTTTCGAAAGGCGAGCATTTACAAGAAATGCGACTGGGCTCCATGCAAAAAACTGATAATCATGTGCCTGAAAGTCTACGCTGTCGTAATAACGCAACATCTTCATCTCAGCCGATGCTCTTTCTGCTGCATGTCGAAAGAGGCCAGAACACGGCCAATATGAGCCCATTTGTTAGGCTACAGCGCAGGATCATTCCAGCTACTAGCGATCTGCGAATTTAGTGCAAAAACGTATAATTGCACTGGCAAGCCGGGTGCGTTCCAGCTTGGATTATAATATCAGGGTATTTCATTTTGCCAGTGTCCACTGATGATTCGTTTTACTGCTAGTTTGGTAGTGGGATAAGCCAGGGCATCATTTTGTTTAGAGAATCACCTAAAACTTTGCCAGTGGGTAGTTCTTGCTGCCAGTGATGCTATTCAGGTAAATTGTGAGTGCTTCTTACTCTCACTGAAAATAAATGATTGAAGAAGTTTGACTTCAGCTTTTAATTTTTTAGGAAATTTTCGTAGATTTTCCAGGAGAAAAAATCATTGAAAGCGTTTTGCTGTGCAGCGCTTTTGCTGTGCAGCGCTTTGACGCTGCTACAGTAAGCAAAAACGCGTATTGGCAAGAGGCTGTTTGT